ACGATCTATCGATAAAAAATAAATTTTATAGACACGAGCACGAAAAATTCTCCCTTTTTCAGATAAAATGTCTAGCAATATCACATTATTGTTCTGTCTGATGTTACACTACATCCCCCCGAAAAATATCAGAAATCGTGAATAAAGCAAAGTCCAAATTAACGAAACGATTTATCGGCAAAAATTGAATTTCATAGACACGAGCACGAGAAATTCTTCCTTTTCGAGATAAAATATCTAGCAATATCGCATTATTGTTCTGTCTAATATTACACTACATCCCCCCAGAAAAATATCACAAATCGTTAAAAAATATTCTTACACTCTGAATAAAACAAAGTCCAGAATAACAAAACGATCCCAAAGGGTTTCAATTCAATGGCGAACCATCGTCAGAACGATGACTGCACTGATTCCCTGCGACGAATACCAATCTAAAGATACCACACCCGGCTCAGAGTAATTCCGTTTTCACGGACTCGTAGCTACGATTGTGCGAAGTTCCTTGCCTCGAGCGGTAATAGCGAATAGACGACGAAAAACCATGAGAGAGAGAGAGAGAAAGAGAGAGAATGAATAGAGACGTTGTACTCGCACTTTAAATAAGAGGATCGGTTCGATAGCGGTCCAAGGCAAGCTATGTACGTTAGTATCCTCTCGCGATCCATCGTTTCGTCGTTTCGTCCATCCAACATCACTTCGTCCTTCTTTCGTTCGATACCAAGCTCAAGCGGATCGCAAATGGGCCGTGTGATCTCTCGCGATCGGCCAGGCTCTGATCACCAAGAAGACTAAAACGGTCGCGGGCTCGTTCGCTGATTACCAAGCAGACGCTTCACGCTTCGTTTCACGCCAATTGCTTCCCTATTTCGTCGAGGATCGCGACGACGCCAGACGCTTGTAATTTCACGCCGATGCGTGGTTTCTTCTCGCGTTCCGCTCAGATTCCGCCGCGAGATTTCGTTTCTTTGCCTGCTCCGCAGGCGAGGAGAAGCTTCGATCCTTCATCGAGACGAGAACACGTTTCTGTTTGGCTTGTTTCGGCTTTCTCTTTTTTTTTTTTTTTTCTTCTGGTTCTAACAGGCGACAGACTCGACAGTCTTACGTTTCGTGTTTCCTACATTTTTATGTTGCTAATAACTTACGAAGAGTTACATCGTTTCTTACTCAGTCGTTTCTTACTCATCGTTTCTTACTCAATCTAAATTTTTAGGCAAATGATGTGGTATATTAGGTATTTAAGTGTGGCATGGTATTTATTAGGAATAACGTAAATTTTTAGGCGTAGTGGTATATTTCTTGGAATACCAAAGTGAAATCTAAATTAGCTTCTAGAATGTAGTGTCGGCGAGGATATTCTTCATTTCTAACTACGTACTTGTAGAAAGAATTCTGCAAATCAAGCGTATGCAAAATAACGTACACATCTCTTAAATGACATTCGGTAACGCGAAGTAATAACAATTATCACACGGCGATTCATTGATATTGAAATTTGTATTGAAGCGTAATAATGATTAAATTGCGTGAAATTACACCTACGTTATATTATATGATGAATATAATTATTATATTATATTACAGTATTAATATCATGACACTGTAACAATATCACTCATTTCCAATGGAAAGAGCCAACGCAAGATGTAGAAAGTCCCGTCGTCTCTCCCTCAGAAAAGTTCGTTCTCTTTCTTCCCGTAAAACCACATAGATATAGAAAAAAAGGAAAGAAGTATGTACTGAGTAGGAAAATATTACTGGATGTTCCAACTCAAGCTCTGGCCAAGGGAGTACGAAAGAAAAGACAGAGAGAGAGAGAGAGAGAGAGAGAGAGAAATTGGAATGTTCCCTGGTGAAAGGAGTAATCTCGGCTAGGACTGATCGAAGGCAAAGGAATACCATCAGCCTCGCGGTAACGACTTCCACGGAAGTTCATTTCTATTCACGAGCTGGAGCACTTTTGCGCTTTGAATCTGAGAATACCGCCAATCGTTTCCCTGTCAATGAGCCTGGATAGTCGCGCGCCTTCGAAATCTTTTAGCCTGGTTAATACTTGAAATTGTTTCCGAACGATAACTCACAGTGGCCACTTGTTTAAAAAAAGGCAAAGGCAGAATTTCTCGGTACGACGAAGCTCGGAACAACACGTTTCGAACGAAAGAATAAAAAGTGTGCTGAATTTTTTTATTACGATTAAGGAAGATTAAGTTTACCTGGCACGGACGAAACCAATTCCTTTCAATTAATCCGTATCACGAAACTCTATTTTTTGATACTGAGACTAGATCCAGAGATTCGTCGAGCTGTGACAGATTTTGATGCAAATTTGTATATTTGAGAATACAGTTAAAGAGAGAGAGAGAGAGAGAAAGAGAAGCTTGGTGGAAAATTATTTTGGACATTTTGGACATTTTATAATTTTTTTTTTTATATGGGGGTTTAGAGTCTACGACTACGAGGTCTTTAGCGACGTGCTGGAATTACTACTGGTCTAGTATATGGGTAGTTGATAACGTTTTTTTTGTTGTTTCTGGCAGGTTAGAGCGGTGTTTCGGTTTAATCCGTATTTACTTCTTGTGTTTTATAATTTTCTTTTCATATTATAATACATTTTTACACGTTCTGTGCAATGGAGCGTGCCTTAAAGTTTATAAATGCATTAAAAAAATCTGCAGACAAATTATTGCTTGGTTTGTATTTTCTAGATTAGAATTCCTTTGTATCTTTTACTTACGACTATCACTGATTTCACGATCTTTGAATTATTATTTCGCATTGTCCACATTTTCCGATCTTTCGATCTTTCAGTCTTAATTCTACAATAAAAACACAGCTTTGATTGCCAAATCAATCAAATCGATATTGACGATCATATCGAAACGTTAAATGATTGATTCTTAAGTTATAATACAATTAAGTTATAATACAATTATTACAATTAAAATTTGCAAATTAAAATTTACCTGAAGGAGCTGCTCTTCATCGGCGCCGCGACGAGAAAAAGATCCCCGAAAATTTATAATCTTTGAATCACATGATCACAAGTCGAGCAATTTGAACGAATATTTCATTCGTGTTTGCTCGACAGTCGAGACTTAACTGCGCAAAGGAGACAGTGTCGGCCCATTTGATTGTTGTTGTCTCATCTGCGTTTCGACCTTTTCGTTCTCGAAATCGTAGATATTACGTCGACGCGAACGGCGAATCGAAGTAACTGACAGCGCACAATTGTAATTTGAACAGCATTTCCCGCTGGATGTAATTGCGACAATATTTCTCTGGGTACGAGGTATGCTCCGTCATATTTCCTTCCTTTTTCTCGAAATTAAAGCGTCTTGCAATCTATCTTGTGTCGAAAGAAAAAAAAAAGAAAATTAAAGTTACAGCCGGGTTTCTTTTTACACGCGTTTTATTCACAATCTCACGGGTTCATACTTTATACACAGTTGCAAGGTTTTTGTCTATAGTTACACGATAATTAAAAATGAAATCTCGCGTAAAAATCAGAGCAAAATATAGCAAAAATATAGCAAAATATAGAAAATATTGTACATATGAATCACCTTTTAACATCAACTTAACACTTGATTAATGAAGAAGAATATATTCGCGTAAACTCACCCTCTTTTGGTGTAAGAGGAGCGACAGATACTTCAAGAAGAACGTGCAGAAATATATATAAATGTTAGAAAGTATTTTTAGTAATACTTTCATTTTTGTGACGACGAATAACTGTGAACTATTGAAAGAATTAAAATAAAATTCTCTTTATATCCTGGACGAATTTATCCCAATTGATTGGAATCCACGATCTTCTAATTTGGTCCGTTGTTCGCTTGTATTGTAAATACTGTTTCATGATATATTTATCACCGCTGAATATAAAATATCGAAAAATACTGAAACAATGTCGAAAGACAGTAACAGCAGGATTCATTATGAAATCCACTTTGTTCAACGATGCATTTCAAACGACACGAGAGCACAAAATAATCGCCGATGTCACAATAAATAATCGCCAATTCACAAATCGTCCAATCGAGAATAAAGAGAAATTGGAATGAGGAATAAATACCTGAGAGAATGTGCCAGAGCATAAAATTAGAAATATGAAAGTATTCTACAGTTTGTCCATTCCTTGAAACTTCGAACTCGTCCGCAGCTACCAGTAAACCGAGTCGATTGTTGTCTGTTCCCTCTACCATCTTTTAATCAAATATTCCCACAATTCCATAATTTTTTTCGAATATTCACCACAATATTACCGATGGCTATGAAGTTAATAAAAACCAATAACGTGCAACGTTTCGTTCGACGGACGTTGGCTATAGCACAATAACGGAGGCGGTTAGCCATTTACGGTAATTTCATAGCCAATTGCAAGGGGTAAGCCACAGTTTGCGGAATATGTACGTAAATTCTAGGAAAACAATTCAATTTCAAGAAACAAATAAAATCTTCTCCCTCGCAGTTCTTTCCCCGTTGTTTCGTAAATCGTTTATTATTTTATTATCATGGACGAATTATTGATGTACTGTACGTTTGTGACTGTAGAGTCGCACAAAGGCACAAGCATTATTCGTTTCGCTTCAAAAGGATGGTTCAAAATACTGACTTTATAGAGATACTAATAAAAGTCTCTATTGAATACGATTTCATTACTACACGGTGATGGCAAACGTTTGCTGTTCAGTGTGTGCGTATCTTTATACATTTCTCGAAGTATACAAACGAGTATTACAATTTTCTATTAAGTATTTTTACGTCTGCGAGTAAGAAAAAACTGATACTTGATGCCAATTCGTAACGCATTACCTATTCTTAACGAGATTAAATAGACAAATTAGATCACAACGTCAAATTCATGAAATGGCTATAGCCTCCATGAAACAATTAATTCACAAAATCTTCAGATTCTTAAAAATTAACAGTTTGCAACTAGGAATGAAAGCTACTACGTTCTACGCTACTACGAAAGTATTTCTACGATCTATTTCTTCTAAAAATTTAACTATTTTATTAGTACTACTTAATTGAATATTTTTCTCTAAGAGTCTGCATTCTCATCGATCAGAGTATTACTCCTGCATGGAAGATATCATCATAAAATACGACACTGAGGTTTTCACCAGCTGAAATAATTTTCATAGCTTGTTACTGTATCTACGTCAACAACGAGAAATTAATTAATATCAATTACAAACGAATATACCGATGAAAAGCCTTCTACCGTGCCGGTGTAACAATTGTAAATGTTGAACGAGAATGTCTTGCTGCTTCTCAACATCATGTACAACAATAATTTTTGGGTTGCAACAGTAGTTTCGTACCAGTTGTCGTGGAAACTGAAATCATTGGTAAAATTTCGTCTGGCACATTTTCAGAGTACCGCTCACTGATCGAATGCTTACACTGTCATGGAAAAGTTGGTATAGTGATCGTACGCTTGTTCGCAGAAGTAATTCAAGTAATACATGTACATTAATTCGCAAACCATAAATAAGATACTGGCAATTGCTTCTTCGTATTCGGGTGTAAACAATTCGGATAGCGACGCGGACAGCTGGAAAAATGAATAAAATCTTGGATTCTGGTCGTTTCTCGTTCCGACAAATGACTACGAAGGCAGGATTGGAAATATAGATGTCGTTTCAACGGAAAATGAGGGGAAATATCGAGTTTAATATGTACACGAGTATACTTACGCGAAATAAATTAATTGCTAGAGAAGTGATAGCAAACAGAAGGAGGACAGCATATGCGAATGCGTTGTTGTCCTGCATCTCCTGGATAAATCTACGAGAAGAAATGCTGATTGAATTGAATGACGATCTTGTGAAAAATGACATATGTGAGTACGAAGCAGTACTGACTCTAGTCCTCTCTTATGGGCGATTACGGCTTTTGCTATATCCCTTCTTGTTATGTCATCGCACTGGTATTTCGAATTTCTGAAAATAGTTTTTCTCACGTAGTAGCTGAAAATTTCGGCATTATGTATAAACCTTTTCGTGACAAACGTATAAATATAATCGTGCATAATTTCATACAACAAATTATTTCATAATTTCGATAAAAAGATAAATTAATTAGAGTTGTCGAAAATGACATTTTGTACATAGCATACGCATTCACGTATACAGCTTATCATTAAAAAACAAATGAGATAAAAAATTAAATTAATTTTCAATTATATCATGTTCCTTGGTGGATATTATAATTTCGTTGAATAACATAATTCCAAATATATTTATATTTCAAATAGATTCAATCCAAATCCCAGTAAATTCACTGTCTGAATGAATTTTTCTAGATAGTAAAAAACTGCTTCTCATAAAAAAGCGATGAGACAATATTTTCGAAATTTCGTATCAAATTAATTTTCGTATCTAAAAAGTTGATTTTGTCGATCCGGTATTAAATCAATTTTATGAAGTAGTTTATTAACACGTATCTTAACATACTTATCAACAATACTGATCTACTATCATACCAATAGAACATTATTTATGTGCAATGTCACTTGAAACATATAAACAGTGCATCGGACAACAATTCACTATTTTTTATACCTGGTAACTTCGCTTAAACTAATAGCATGTTTCAGACACAGGATCGCGAGCGTTTCCGTTCCCGCGAAGATAGTTACGAAAATTATCATTGAAAAGTTCATATGTACAAACGTGAGTAAAATACATTTCTCTTCAAGTATCATGTATTCCGTACGTATGGGAAATCTCCTCAGACGAGTTTCGTTCGTCGGCACAATTCTCTCATAAATAAAGACTGACGAGTAATAGAGTACGACAATTACTAATGAGAAATAAAAAACCGCTGTAACACATGTACGAGAAATTAGAAAGATCGAACTGTGTCAATTCGTATGAGTAATGTTTCTGCAAATATGTCGCTCACATCCGAATCGTAACCCGTAAACTTTCCCCACGTAAGCGTTTTTCTTCATAATTTCAAGTGCCTCGCCGTGTTCCATTTCCATGTCGCGTCTTATTTTGTCCATAAACTTCTTCGCCTACGTTTGTTGACGATTTATGTCTACTTTTCAATATGCTACAATGCAAATTATTTAACTGGACGGTCGAGAACTTACAGTAGGAAGTTGATACCAATTTATATTGTACTTTGCAAAGGAGCCCAAGCTCATGAGCACGAACGAAACGTACTTCAGCATGAATTCACTAGTTATGAAGACCAAACACTGGAAAGCGTAATAAATTACAGAAATATTCACAGAAAGGCATTTTGATGAATATTTCCGTTCAATGGAAGCAAACATAACATACAACATATATAAAAAGAGTTTATAAATGTGTATAAAAGTTTTTAAAAAAATACGGTTTAATTTAATTTAATTATTGTCTTTTTTTTGCTAATCTATTAACTGGACTACGAGTTATGAAAAATTTTTATGATTATGAGATTGACAGAGACAAACCAATTTGTACCGAGTTGAATAAATTTAAATAAACACAAAGATATAATAAAGACTATTTCTAGAAAAAAAGAGAAATTAAAACAGAAAACACGACACGCCCTTAGTTAATAAGGTTAAAATTTTCATATCTCCATACGGATTTAGGCTGTTTCCAAATACGAAAAATATAACTCAAAATACTATATACTAAAAATTTCATTTTTCCACATAAAAATTATGTAAATAACAGGCTTATCAGAGTGCGGTCACTTGAATACGCGCTCGTCATTGTGTCCAACTGAAAGAACTGTGAAAGCTAATAATACAATAAACGAAATAATAATTACAGCACCTGAGCCACGATAAAAAGAAAAAAACTGAAGCTGATGAAGCTGTTTTTCAAAACGATGAATCTCGTATTCTGATAGGGCCAAAGTCCTATCATTGTTAAGAGAACCCTAGGGAAACTATAATACGTCAGTGCTTCGACCATTGCGTACAGTGGTTTAAGAATTACTGATTGCCCGCTACTTCGACTTAATTTCCCTTTTTACCTTTCTTAGAAATTTTCCAACGAAATACCACAACAGAAATTCATAGAACCACCGGCAGAATGAACGACGCAACCTGTAATTACAGAATTATTTATTCATGTTCATCAGCGTAGGAAATAAACGATCGATTGGTTCTTTTCTAGAGAATCATAGACTATAGAAATAGGACTATTAAGAAAATTATGGTCTAAGGGTACTGAATAGTCTTCCCTCGAAACAATTTCCTTTTTCTTACATATATTTGATTTGCCTGTGTGGTGTGTGCGAGAAAAATATTTCTCAATCGCAGTCAGTCTGTTTTATTTTCTCGAGATGGACAGAACTTAGTTGAGAATGATTCGGAGACAAGTATGAAATGTGATGTCAAGAGAACACGAAAGTGTTCTGTTCGTGAGATATTTTGTTAGAAATTGAGCGAGCGTTGCTTGTATCAAGCATATGTATTCAACATATTCAATTTTAGTTACTAATTAAGAGCGGAACAAGAAACTCTACAAGAATGGATTAGATATATACAGGGTGTCTCATTTTAACTCATTTTAACACATTCATGCAATTAATATGTTATATAAATACATAAATAATAATAATACATAAATAATACATAAATAATAATTGTGACTGTTTTGTGTATCGTAAAATGCAGGTGACACGTAACGTAAGTATTTTTGCAATATTTAATATATTGTTATTACGAAACGAGCATTTACGTGTACATATATTTTAAACGGAAAATGTGTCGTAAAAAAGTCAGATTCGGCGTACAAAATGTTGTGCTTAGTGCGTATCGGTATCTTAGGTACGAAAACTGAACGTACTATTGTTTATGAAATACGCGACTGAATGAATTGAAAGAATGTAACGCAAAACGGCAAGAGAATCCGCACCGTCACGAACATAAATAACTCCCGATTAAGATAATCGTAATTATTAAACAATGAAATGACGTCGATTCAACATCGGATGACAAATATACATCAATTCAAATAACAATCGGTGATACAAAAGGTATTCAAAATGAAATTAACATCGATATCATTATCTTAAATATTTGTTGTAAAATTTTGTTACTGTAACGGAGAGGTACCTCCTACCGTGTGTTTGGACAGACAATTAGGCGAACACTCAATTGAATAAATTGACATTTTGGTTATTCACATAGACCTGTAAACGCCCTCGACGGAATTTAATATGTCTTGAAATGCGTAATTTACGAAAACAATGAAAAATAAATGAAAAGAAGTTCAACAGAAATTTAAAAAATATATGCATACATTACAAGGACACACATATTTCGCAGGGATCACAAAAATATTTAAACAGTGATTCACTACACATATATATATATATACAAGTTTTTTCATTTTTAATAATCGTAATATGCTTCGGATGACTTTTTTACTAAATATATGCTTTCAATAAATATTTGTAACTTCTGCAATCATTTTTAAATTGGTTTCAAACATTGTTGATGCAATTATCCAAGTTGTCCTTTGTTACAGTTTTAATGAAGCTTCGATGTAACTGAAAATTCTTTCTCACGGTAAATATAAGAATATTTTTAAAAGCCACAGATGTATATAATAAGGAACATATCAAGTTTCCTTACCTAACAATTTCGAACAAACTAGTAGTGTGCTGTATCAACATGGCACATAAGGATTTAGCTATATGTAACAGCGTTTAGGGTATACGATTATATGATATATCGCCATCAGAGATAAGCATTTCTGTTCATCTAAGGAATATCTGACTTTTATTATATAAAGTATATATAAAGATATATGGAAGTGAGATGTGTTCAATGAGAGGAGAATATTCCGGAAGGAAGGCAAAGCACCACCAACATTAACGTCATTAGAAATATTATTACTCTAATAACATTTTCTATACCAATATACGTCAATGATTTTGTACGACATTTTCTGGCTGACTGCAGCATAATAACGGGAGCGATTAGCCAATTACAGCAATTTCATAGCCAATTGTCGTTGCAAGGGGTAAGCCACGAAATGTGTAAATTCTATAGAAACAATTTAATTTCAAGAAACAAGTAAAATCTTCGCCCTTGCAGTTCCTTCGTTACTTCGTAAATCGTTTATTATTCATGGACGATTACTGGTGTATCATACATTTGTGCCTGTAGAGTCGCACAAAGGCATCAGGCATTATTTGCTTCGCTTTAAAAGGATGGTTCAAGAATACAACCATTATAGAGTTATTAATATTAATCTCTATTGAATACGATTTCATTACTACACGGTGGTGGAAAACGTTTGGTGTTCAGTTTGCATTAACAGTCTGTAACTTGGAATGAAAGCCTCTACGTACACTTCTGCGTGGAAATCAAACTATTTTGTTGAGTATTATTTAACTGAATTAGAGGCTGCGTTATCATCGGTCAGAGTATTACTCCTGCATGGAAGATATCATCATAAAATACGACACTGAGGTTTTCACCAGCTGAAATAATTTTCATAGCTTGTTACTGTATCTACGTCAACAACGAGATATTAATTAATATCAATTACAAACGAATATACCGATGAAAAGCCTTCTACCGTGCCGGTGTAACAATTGTAAATGTTGAACGAGAATGTCTTGCTGCTTCTCAACATCATGTACAACAATAATTTTTGGGTTGCAACAGTAGTTTCGTACCAGTTGTCGTGGAAACTGAAATCATTGGTAAAATTTCGTCTGGCACATTTTCAGAGTACCGCTCACTGATCGAATGCTTACACTGTCATGGAAAAGTTGGTATAGTGATCGTACGCTTGTTCGCAGAAGTAATTCAAGTAATACATGTA